AAGCGTCATTTGAACTTGCAGATTGCATTGTAAATTTTTTTTTTTTTTTTTATAAAGAAACTAATAGTTATTAACTCATGCTATTATCGAGTGCGTGGCACTTAATATTAATGCTCTAATTTTGCAAATGTATTGTTTTATTTTTTTTTATCTAACAAAAGTATTAAACAGCATTAAATCATGGAACTATTGATTTAATTTCGTGGCCGCGCTAATGATTATAGAACATAGTATTATTAAACAGGAACTACCTTTTGAGCAAATAATAATAATAATTATAATAATAATAAAAAGGAAAAAAAGTCACAATCTAGTGCATTACATGATACTAAATTTTAGCACTCAAAATTTTACTCTAAAAACTCTATTATATCATTTTCTTTTCCAAACAAAAAAGCAAAACTAATCAGAAACTTGCTTTGCCACTTTGCGAGTTAAGAACTCTCCCTCTCATCCTCCTCCACCACCACCACCTTCTCTCCCTTCCCTTTCTTCTTAACCAACTTGGGCCTGGGCATCACAGGCCTAAGATACCCAGCCTGCAACCTAACCATCTCCCTCAAAAGCCCAACAAGCCTGTCCTCAATATCCGGCCCATTGGGCTCAATTACCCCCAAGGTCCTGGCCACAGCTTCCATGGTGGTCACGCACCCACCAAACGGCTCCTTCCTCAGAATCAGCTCCGAGTCGAAGATGGTCCCACCTTTCACGCTCTCATCAACCTCCAAGCAAACCCTTTGGGCGAATCCCCAGAGGAAATCCTCGCTGGCACGGACCATCTCCCTCGCGTGCTTCCACGTGGCGTCGAATGCGATTAGGACTGACGGGGGGCGGCGGTGACGGAGCTGGGATAGGGTAATGGCGGGGGAGGAGTTGGGTGTGGAGGGGAAGAGGTAGATGGCGGGCGGCGATTGGTCGAGGAGAGGGGACAGGCCGTGACGGAGACGGCGCCCGACGACGGCGGTGGCGTTGGAGAGGCATTTGGTGAGGATTGGGGTGGTGGAGAGCTTGTGTTGGACCTCGTGGGGGTGGTGGAGGACTATGATTTGGGTCGTGGTGGGGATGGGCTGGGCCGGGAGGGCGTGGCAGAGGCAGACGGGGCTGGGCCGGGAGCAGTTGGGGCAGATGGGCCGACGCCGTGAAGTAGTGGAGAAAGAGAGGAGGTCGTGATCGAGGTCGAGGTCGAGGTTGTTGTTGTTGAGGTCGTCCTCTTCCGTCTCCATTTTGGTTGGTTTGTTTTGGGAGTTACGACACTTGAGCTTCTTTTTTGTTGTTTTGTTGATGGAAACGACACTGCGTTTTGAAATGGGAAAGAACGACAATGTGGGCGTTGGGGCTTCTTCAACGCCTTCGTCTCACAAGCTGGTGACTAAAGAGTTTCTCAGGTGAGCAAACTCAAGTGTGAAAGCTTCAGTAAATAGAAGAAGAGAGGCAAATAATTTTAGGATTTTTGAAAGATGAAAAATAGAGAAGAGAGAGATAGAGACCGAAACAGAGTTAATTAGGATGAGATTCATGAGACAAGACCAGTTTTTTAGGGATCGAGAGAGAAAAAAAAAAATGAAACATGAGAGAGAGAGAGAGAGAGAGAGAGAGAGAGAGAGAGAGAGAGAGAGACTATAGACTATAGAGGACCGCAGGCTGTTTAAATTTTCACAGGTGAGCAAAATTAGAATATGTTTGGTAGGAAAGAAAAGTATAAGGAAGGAAGAAGGTGGAGGGATTTTGAGATGGAAAATAAAAATGTAGGTTGTTTGGTAGGAGAGAAAAGATAGGAAGAGAAAATGGAGTGAAAAATAATACATGTGGACCCCACTATTTTTTTTCTTTTTACAAGTGGGCAGAAAATGTGATGAAAAATGGGAACAACTCATTAAATTGAGTAAAGTTACTAAACTACCATTTTCTCCATTTTCTCCATCAACATCTAAAGAAAAAATTTAAGGGTATAAAAGTAATTTACGAATAAGATTTTTTCTTTCTTCTTAATTTGACTTTCAATACCAAACAAGTGAATGTAAGCTCATTTTCTTTCCATCTTCTCATACCAAACAACATAAAAGAAAATCAATTTCTTTTCCATCATTTCTATTTTCCATCACTTCCATATTTCATTTCTATCATATTTTCTTTCCTTCCTACCAAACATAGCATTAGTGTTGGAATTTTTCAGGCTCGGGCTGGCAGGCCCAATTGTTGGCCCATCCAATTTTATTTTTCGGGTTTGGGCTCGGATGGCTCAAAAATGGACAACTCGCCAGAGCCGCCTCCGTGTTATCGTCGTCAATTGTCGTCCGCCGGAAATTTTTTTGAATTTTTTCGGTCAGGCCTAATTTGCCCGAAGCCTGAGCCCGACCAACAGATAAAGTTTCGACCGTTGGAGCCTAACCCGACCCGAAGTCTGAACTGTCCGACCCCAACGGATAGTTTTTTGACCGTTACCCGAGCCCGCCCGAATCCGACCCGTCGAAAAAAACTAACAGTTGGATCCAAATTTAAGGGAAAAAATTAATTTTTTAACCCAAAAATTTCACTATAAATACTCTCATCCTCCACACATTTTTCTCACTCAAACTCTCTCAATTCCTATCAATTTCTCTCAATCTCTCTTGATTTCTCTCAATCTCTCTCAATCTCTCAAATCTCTCTCACAATTTTTCTAAAAACTATTACAATATGCTAAAGCTCTCTCTCTCAAATCGCTTTTATTTTTTATAATGGATTCTTTTGGTTATAGTGGTATTCCCGTTGATGCCCAACACAACGTGGAAGAATAACAATTTTTCACTAATGAATTTGTTACGCGTGAATCTGCTAATCTGAGCCCTGGTGGACGTATTGAAGGTCGTTGTTACAATGATGGTAGGCGTAGAGAAGCGGCGAGTGCAAGTGCGACTGCGTCTACAAGTGTTGCAACCTCCAGGAGAAAATGTAAGCACACATCGACAGTTTGTGATCACTTTGACACAATTGAGGAATCGACAATGAATGTAACACTAAACATATAACTCAGTGTAAATATTCTTTATCTAAATTACAAGGTGACACTATTTACGGTACCACACACTTGAGAAGACACTCCAGAAAGTGTCTTTAAAAGCTTAGCCAGTCCGGCGGACCTAAACTCCACGAAACACAATTATCTTTTGATCGCGCAACCGGTGGTCAAACCACTTGAAAATACGATCCGCAAGTAGATCGTATGAAAGTTGCACTAATGATAGCTGCATTGGATCAACCACTTAGTTTTGTAGAGCATCCTAATTGACAACGATATATTAAAGTTGTGCATAATCCTAATGCACAATTCACTTCAAAAACTACTCTTAGGAAAGATTTATTAAAAATATTTAAAAAATAAAAATAAGCATTAATAAACCTTTTACACTCGACTAGCGGGTGCGTTGCATTAACGGCAGATATTTGGTCTGTCGTTGCCAGTAAAGATTACTTAGCTGTAACCGGACATTACTTTAAAGGATTCGATTTAGATAAGAGAATATTAAGTTTTAAATGTGTTTTAGGATCACATAGCACCGATTTAATATATAATACAATTTTAAATGTAATTGATGAAATTAGATTAAGAGATAAAGTAATGGCTATAGCATTAGATAATGCTAGTGCAAATACTAAAGCAATTGAGTACTTCGAAAATGATTTAAGTTTATTCGGTGATGGTACTATTTTTCACTAACGTTGTCCATGCAACGTAATTAATTTAATAGTTAAATCCGGTTTAAAAGAAATGAATACTCACATTTAAAGAATTAAAGATAGTATTACATGGATTTAAGGTGGTAACCAAAGATAAGAAGATTAGTTTAGGTTCTTACAAGCATTAAATATACCTCCTAGAGCATTAGTTTTATATATGCATGTAAGATGAAACTCAACTTATATTATACTTCAACAATGCATCCCCTATAAAGATGCTATAACAAAATATATCTGTGCAAAATTAGGAACATGACATATAGACGCATATGATTGACAAATTGTCGAAGTTTTGTATTAATTTTTAGGTAGGTTTCATGACTTACTTTAAAACTTAGTGGAACATATTACCCAACATCACCTTTAGTTTTAGGTGAACTTTTAAGAATTAGTATTTTATTTAGTGAATATAGAGCGAACCCAATCTTAGGAGTTCCTATCCATTCTATGGAAAAGAAATTTAAAAAATATTGGTCTAAGTTGCTTTTATTGTATGGTTTGGGTACTATTTTTGATCCTAGATTAAAATTAGACGGTTTAGAAAGTAATTTAGAAAACTTAGGTAAATTTTTAGACATAAATTGTTTGGTCCAATTTCCAATAATAAAGGAAAAAATATTTTCGATCTATAGTAAATATGAGAATAGGTTTAAAAGCATAAACTTTGGAGTACAGGAACCGCAACAACAAGATGAAAATCCACATTCATTCTTGAATGTTTTCAGGTTGAAGAAGAAGAAGAACACAACTCAAACAGAAGTTGAGAGTGGATCTTCATCAACAGGTGGCAGCGGCGGTGGCGGCTTCAACGAGCTTATGGCGTAACTCAGTGAGAGCTTAATAGTCGACGGTACTAGAGAATCATTTGACTTAGTTCGATGGTGGAGAGCATGAGTAGGGCTGTTCATGGGTTGGGTTGGTGCGGGGTAGGATTTTTTTCCCCGCCCCAAAGGGTGCGGGTTGCACATATTTGGCCCCAACGATGTTAGAAAAATTTCACAACCCAACGATGTTTGGGTTGGGTTGGGGCGGTACGGGGTGGGTTGGGTGGTCGGTTTCAACATTCAAAAAATTAAAGACTTAAAGTTCAATATAATATTCAAACTTCATCATTAAATAGAAATAGTAACCATCCTTATCAGTCCGGCGAGAGAGCACCGGAGAAAGTGGGCCAGACGGCGGCCGAGAGGACTGAGCAATGAGGAGAGAGTTATGAGGGGTTAACGGGAGAGGAAGAAGAGGGAAAACTGAAAAGGAATAGGCAAGAAGAGGGGGTTCACGGGAGGGGAGACCGAGAATGAGATTGTGAACCCTAATGTTAGCGAGCCTAAGGTAGAACTTGGGCAGTTCGGCTTGGGCCGAAAGCTTGGGGGTATGTTGTGCGGGTTGGGTTGGGGATTGCGGGTTGTTATGGGCCCAACCCGCAATCCGCCCCAAACACTTCGGGCCAGAAGTATAATGGGCCGAAAATTTAAAAATAATACTGCAAGTTACTTTTTTCGGCTTGGGTTGGGGCGGGGTGGGTTGGGTTTGCGGGTTGTTCGAGTTTATGAACAGCCCTAAGCATGAGCATTAACTTGGCCAATCTTAACTCAATTGGCAATGGATATATTTTTGATCTCAGTCTCCACTGTTTCATCCGAACAAACCTTCAGTACGACATGACGAATACTTGAGGAACGCCGAAACGCATTGCAAAGGGACATTGTTGAAGCCGTGGTGTGCATTAAGGATTGGGATCGTGCCGATCAATGTCTACAGGATACAATTTCGCCGACAAGTCAATAATGGATCGATGAATTTAATAAATTAACATTTAATTTTGAAGAAAATCCTTTAGCTTCAGATTAAATTGTAAATTTATAATTTGTAAATATGTATTTACTTTTGACATTGTAATTATATATTTAGACTTTGTAAGTTTGTAAAATTTGTAATTTGTCACAAAATGATTGAACTCTTTTTTCCTTACCAAATTTTTATTCCAATTTAGTTTTTCTTAGTAAGGTTTTTAACGAAGTAATCATGAATTACAAATTTAAAAATTAATATACAAAATTAATTTATTAAATTGTGTTAATAATATGTGTTGAATGTTGATTATAGTTTTTATATAATGTTAACATAAAATAACTTAATAATTATAAAATTAAAAAATATAAAAAAAATTCAGGTAAAAATATAAAAATAACTTAATAATGTGTGTTGAATGTTGTAAAAATTAATATACAAAAAAAATATAAAAATAACTTAATAACAAAAATGTTCTTTTTTTTGTTAAATTTTTTGATGTAAATGACACTTATCGTGCTAATGATAATGGTCGTTGAACAATCTGGTATATAAGTACTTTTCTATCCACACCTGTGAAATTATATTTTTCTATTTAGATAAAAAGTTAATTTTCATTTAATATGAAAAAATGAAACACTTTTTCCAAAAAGAAAAGAACAAATAAACTAAAAATATATTGAGTACATTTAGAATTGTTTTCGTTATGAAAACAAAAACGGTCTACAAATCACGTACAAATTTTGAAAACGGAAACAAAAATAAAAAATAATGAGAATGATTTTTGTGAAGAAAGTAGAAAATGATTGAAAGTTATTTTCATTTTTTCGTTTTCATTTTCTAGTACTTATCAAAAAAAATTATGTTAAATAATTAATAATTAATTGTATTATATATTAATTAATAATTAATAAATAGATATACTATATTAATTTATTACTATTAAGTTTTTAATTTTATTAATAAAATAATAAATAATATAGTAATTAATTATTTAGTTAAAAATCAATTATATAATATATTAACAATAAAACAAGTAATAATAGATTATTAAATAAATAATTAATAAGTAATATATCAATCATATATTATATTAATTATCTATTAATTAGTAAATATACTATTAATTAATAAGTAATAAAAAATAAGTAGTAATTACTTAATTAATAATTTATGGCCTTTTTTTAGGTTAACAAGTAAACATAATAACCATAACTAGTGCCGAATTTTGAGTTAGTATCGAATAATGGCAAAAACTCCTACCAATTATTTCTCTGAGGTTGACCTTGATTTACTCTCTTATGGGCACCCATGTCATTTGTTGTTTGCAAAACTGTAAATTTCTCACATAAATTGATATCTAACCAATAACAAAAAAGAAAAAGAAATTGCATTTATTTGCTCCATGTTAGCCATACTTGCTAGGCCTGCTTTTCTGCTGCAAAGTTCTCCGGTTAGTTGTGTCTTTTCCTTAAAATTTTATCTTCCTTTGTTACTTAAAGAGGACATAAACTAAGAAAACAAAGAAATTCATGCTTCTATGATGATCTTTGGCCGAAGAAATCAACAATTTTTAAACCCCAATATTGCCTCCCAAACGGCCAAACCAGTAGTTCTTACCCACAATTAAGCATACACATAATTAATTCCATAAGACAATCGTGTAAAATGCAATAACTCCTAGACGAGCTAACTTTTTAAGCGCATCCAAATTATCCATTTTAGAATTCTTAACAATTATATCCAATTTCCCCAAAGTCCAAATCAGTCAGTAACAAAACAAATCCTAAATTCCGAATCTTAAGCCAATTACACACAATTAAAAAAAAAATCAAACAGCACCTGAAGCAGCAGACAATCTTGGAGGCCGTGAAGGAGTGGAGGAAACTGCCGACAAGAGAACGGAGACATGGGGAGCAGAGATGACCTGCGACTGTAAACCGAACACGGCTCAGAAACCTCACAATCACCTTTACCTGGATTCAGATTAACAAATTTAAATTAAACAATAGAGTACAAAGGAACGAGCTTTTTCACGAAACAAATACCTTTATAGTGAAGTCATAGAGACTCTTCTCCGTGGCTGCTCTTGCGTAAATACTCGAAGAACGAGACTTTACAAAAAATCCAAGAAGAACATATGATTGTAAAGAGAACCCATTACGGAAAAGGGCCGATTTGGAGGATCCAAGTGGGGATTTGGTAAATGGGATCGAGAAAGCCATGGATGGCATAAAGTAGAATGGACAGGGGAAATACCTGAAACGGAGCTGCGGCCTTGCAAGAAATCTAACTTCCCAAAGGCCGAATCTGAAGGAAAGAAGGAGGAGCAGCGGGTGACTTTTGAGAGAAAGCGAGGGTCACCATGAAGAGAAGGAGCGACGGTGGAGAGAAAAGAAGGAGCGGCGGTAGAGAGAAGAAGCCCTAGCTTCACTTCGGCGTGGAACAAAAAAATGAAGAAGAAAAGAAGCGTGGAGTGAAAAAATGACGAAGAAAATGAGCGTGGAGGAGTGGAAAATGAGTGAAAGTGGGGGAAGCTTTTGCTCGTATGCGTATTAGAGTAGTAAAAGGAGAGAAAAAATAAAAAGGGAGAATGAGCGAGCGGAAATTTGAAAATTTGGGGAAGTAATTTTCAATACCTGAAAATTTGGGGAAGTAAAGGCTATTCATGGGTTGGGTTGGTGCGGGATATGATTTTTTTTTTCTCCGCCTCAAAGGGTGCGAGTTGCACATATTTTGCCCTAACAATGTTAGAAAAATTTCACAACTCCACAATGTTCGGGTTGGGTTGGGGCGGTGCGAGGTGAGTTGGGTGGTCGGTTTCAACATTCAAAAAATCAAAGACTTAAAGTTCAATATAATATTCAAACTTCATCATTAAATAGAAATAGCAACCATGTTTATCAGTCCATCTAACATCAAACATGAATTAAAGTAGCCCATCCAACATCAAATACAAAGCAAACATAAATTAGTCTACACTTATAAATTAGTCTTAACATAAAACAAATAGCTTAAGCAAAGCAAACATAGAGGCTTAAATCTTAATTCAAATCCATCCAAAGCAAGCATTGTAACATCAACCATCTTTATCAATCCACACTCATATGCTCCTCAATGGTTGTAGTAGGACATGAAGTTGAGTTATCTACAAGAGAAATGAAAATAGCTTGAGTAATAATTTGGATAGTTTAGAGTTCATATAATAAAATAGATTAAGATACATACAAATTATTGTCTTACCTAGATTTTCATAAGTCTTCAAGTCATCCAAATAGTCTCTTACTTGCATAGAATCATGTGTAGACTTCAACCAATTTTGAGTACAAACAAGAGCCTCTACCATCTTAGGATTCAAAGAACTCCTAAATGGATCTAGAATGCGACCACCAGTACTAAAAGCTGACTCGGAAGCAACTGTGGAGACTTGAACAGCAAGTACGTCACGGGCAATTTGAGACAAAACCTTGAACTTCTTACTATTATCTTTCCACCATTCTAAAATATCAAAATCAGGGGTTAAAGGGTTTACATTCTCATCAGCTAGATACCTGTCCAGGTCATTTTTCTCCATATTAGCCCCTCGTTGCTTCAAGAATTGACTTAACAACTCATTGACCGCTTGAACAGGTCGTTCTTTGGGAGTATTTGCTGCCATTTCTCTATTTTTTTCATTATCAACCCCTTTACCATAAAAGGACATCAAACTAGACAATGTGTCATCCACTTTTTTGCATAACTTAGAGGCTGTGGTAGCATCATAAACCATGCTAAAACAGTACCGAAGATAGTCCCTTTTATATCTAAGATCAAGTACAACAGCAATAAACAACATACAGTTAATATTTTCCTTATTGCCCCAATATTTTTCAAACTTCCTTCTCATCCCAAAAGCCATGGTCGACAACAAGCAATCACTACTTTCACACAACTCACTCAACTGTCTTTGAATGGAACAAATCTCATGGAAAAAAGTGTTGGAAGTGACATGTTTTGATGCACTAAATTTCAAAGTGACTTCATAAAAAGTCTTAAGAAATTGAACAAAAACCTTAGTATTTGCCCAATCTTCCTCCATTGGTGGTCCCACTTTTCTCTTCCCACCCGTTTCTTCCAAAAAGTATCCTAAGAACTCTTCATCCTCCTATTCATATCTATCAAAAGCCTTTTGGAACTTAATAGCAACATCTAACATCATGTATGTTGAGTTCCACCTAGTTGGGACATCTAAAACCAACGAACCCTTATATTCAACTTTCTCTTGCTTCACACAATCTTTGAACTTTTGTAACCTTGCAGGAGAAGATTTGACATACTTAACAGCATGTCGAATTGTTGTTATTGAGATATGCATCTCCTTTAGTCCTTCATTTACAATGAGGTTAACAATGTGAGCAACACAACACTGATGGAGAAATTCACCGTCCAAAACAGCGCCCTTCCACCCATTCACCCTCCGTTTGAAATAACTCAAGACTGAATCATTGGCAGCAGCATTATCTACTGTTACCGTGAACACCTTTTCAAGCCCCCATCCATGCATACATTGCTCAATCAACCTCCCAATGGTTTCCCCTTTTCCATTTGGCATGGTACAAAAGTTGATAATTCTCTTTTGAAGCTTCCAATCAGAATCAATGTAGTGGGCAGTTAGACACAAATAATGTATGTTTTGCAAAGAAGTCCAACCATCAGTTGTAAAGGACACCCTCTTACAATCCTTGCATAAAGAAACTTTTAATTTAGCCTTTTCCTCACTAAACAATTGCAAAACATCTCTAGCAACTGTTATTCTTGAGGGAGGAATAAATTTGGGCTACATTACTTGGCAAAATTGTTTAACCCATCCCCTTCTACACTCCTAAACGGCAGCTCATCCATGATCACCATCTTAGCTAAAGCTTTCCTACAAGCTTCTTTACTATACCCAATTGCCAACAAACCATTCCCACTTTCACTACTCGCACGAAAACTCAACAATTTCTGCTTCTTATCTTGGGATTCTTTTTGCATTGCTTTCTTAAATGAACCAACATGCTACTTGTCCCATGTGTTCTAGAACTACAAGCATAGTCATTCCCACAGTAATTACACACCCCTCTTTCATCACCTGGATTATTCCCTTTCTTAATAATAAAATGATCCCAAACCTCAGATTTCTTAACGGGATTTTTCTTACCATATGTCCCCTCATTCTCATATTCTAAATCAATCACATCTTTTTTTGGTGATCTAGGGGCTGGTGTTTTGAAAACCACGTCAGAGACAGGCGATTCGTTTGTTATACGATTAGGGGATCGGGAAGATGATGCTACAGTTCCAGAGGTTGGGGTGTGGTTGTCAGATGATGATAGGAACTTGTCCATCCTAAACAGAAAATATAAAACAAGCCATTCACATAACATAAAGCATAGAACGTAAACCTTGAAGTGTGCATAGAACGTAAAATAAGCCATTCACATAACAAGACATTGGTGAAGTGTGCAGTATTCAATCTAACATGGAAGGTAGCAGCTTAAGGCTCAGCTTGATTGTGATGATTTAAGGCATAACATTCCGCAATCATACAGGAAAAAACAAGTACAACGATTTAGTGGGAGTAGCTTCAAATATCAAAAGGAATGCTTCAGAAACATCCCTTTGTACACTTGTCTACGTGTATGGGAGTAGCATGAACCAATTGGTATCAAATGTGTCCAAAGAAAGAGAAGACAATGATAGACGAGAACAAGCAATAAGACAATAAGAAAATGTGTGGATGCAAGTGGAATACAAAAGCTATTTGTATCACAGATGGCACATGCATTTTGCCGCCAGGGCGCAGCGTATGAACTCACCCTCAAAACTGCCTAGCAATGGCACTAAAAATGAAAGTAATTACCTTAGTCGCATTCCAAATTTCCAACATTTAAGTTACACAATCTAACAAACAAGAAAAAAGCTAATAAAATTAACACCTCCCTTTTCTTTTCACAACCTTTTACAGAACTTGAGATTTTGGGGGGTTTTTTTTTCTTGGTCCAGATTTCCAAATTTCCAAATTAAAACCCAACATTTTATTCGAACTACAATATTGAAAAAAAAAAAGAACCTGAGGGCCGAGACGACTGAGCACAGACAACTGAGAGAGACCAAGAGGCGACTCGCCGAGACGACTGAGCACAGAGCCGAGACGACTGAGCACTGAGGACTTGAGGCGAGAGAGCACCGGAGAAAGTGGGCAAGACGGCGGCTGAAAGGACTGAGCAATGAAGAGAGAGTTGGGAGGGGAGAGGCGGCCGAGAGGTGTGAAATGAGGGAAAACTGGAATCTGAAAAGGAAGAGGCAAGAAGAGGCTTCACGGGAGGGGAGGGAGACGAGAGATTGTGAAGTTTCAAGTGTGAACTGATTGCCCTAATGCCATTGCCAGCGACTAGCGAGCTTCAGCCTGAGGTAGAACTTGGGTTGTTGGGCAGTTGGGCTTGGGCCCAAAGTAAGCAGGGGTATGTGCTACGGGTTGGGTTGGGCATTACGGGTTGTTATTGGGTCAACCCACAATCCGCCCCAAACACTTCGGGCCAGAGGTATAATGGACCGAAAATTTAAAAAAATACTGCGGGTTGATTTTTTCAGCTTGGGTTAAGGCGGGGGTGGATTGGGTTTGCGGGTTGTGCGGGTTTATGAATAGCCAAGTTTTCAATACCTGAAAATTTGGGGAATTTGGATTTACGGGGGGAAGCCATTCTCACCAAATTAAATTTTAATATATATATATATATAATATTACCGCCAAAATATTTCATGATTTTTTAATATATATATATATATATATATATATTGAAAATAACTTCTTTGAAACCCTTTAAAATTCAAGCAAAATAAGTTTTAATAGCAATTTTTCAAAAACGCTATAACTAAAAGTTATTAAAAGTCCATTCTGTTGTAGTAAGAAGAGAATAGAGTGGGGAAAAAATTAAGAGAAGAGAATACTAAAAAAAAATGTGTTCAAAAATTGATTAGCACCAAAGAGGAAAAAGAGATGAAAAATAGCTAACTTTGAGAACACACATTCAAAAAGAGATCAATCCACTGGAAATAGAAGTAAAAAAAAAAAAGGATCAAATGATTAAAGACACCAATTAAGAACCTTATAATTTACACAACAAATCACTATGAGTAAATAGGTGATACAAGAATGATTACGCAGATAGTCAACTTTGATCACTTTGGATTTTCTTTTTACAGTTTACAAAATCCAAATGTTTTGTTACAACAATTAATTCAATAACAAGGAGGAAGTAAAAGTAAATGGAACCAAATAAAAACAGCAAACGAAATGAAAAACAAATACAAAATCACAAATTTCAACAAAATAAAAAAAGCATATGAAGAGAGAAGAGAAGTGCTAACCAGAATATAAATAAAAGCAACTTATTTGATTCCACACTCAACATTGGAGGCTTTTGAAATCACTACAACAACACAGGTGACGTTGTCTCAACCATCCAAAAGGGAGAGGAAGAAATCAGGCAAGTAAGAAAACCAAAATAGGCAAGGTCCAACAATAACAAGAAAGGCAAGAAAAAAGAAACAAAGCAGGCAACAAAAGAAAGCACCCTAGAAAATTTGGCTTTCATTATAGGGTTTCAAGAGATCCATAATAACAAAAATAATCTGAACCAAATTTCTTAACAAAATTAAAGCAAGCATTGTAACAGCATTCCAAACCTCAAAATCAGAACCAAATTTCAGAACGGAATTAAAGAAACAGTCACAGCACTAATCCAAACCTACTACAGACAAAATGTCAAAATAAAAGAAAGAAGTGAGGGTAAAAGTGTGAACCTGAAAGAGAAAAAAGCATCCAAGACTCGGTAGGGGAATAAAAAGCATCCAAGACTTGGTAAAAGTAAATCGAGCTTCTCAACAGGCCATAGTTTAGTATCATATTAAAACCAAACTTATTAGAAATTCATAAAAAATTTAATTCAAAATTCCATAATATAAACATCCATATAAGTCCAATGATAAGAAGCAAATAAGAAGCCATCCAAAAGATAGAAGAAGAAAGCAAGCAAGTAAGAAAACCCAAATAGGCAAGGTCCAACAATAACAAGAAAGGCAAGAGAAAAGAGACAGAGCAAGCAACAAAAGAAAGCCGATTAGAACATTTGGCTTTCCTTATAGGGCTTCAAGAGACCAAAAATTACACACAAAGCAATCCAAAATAAGAAAAATAATCTGAACCAAATTTCTTAACAAATTTAAATCAAGAATCGCAACTGCAATCCAAACCTCAAAGTCAGGATAATTAAACAAACAATCGCTGCGCAAATCCAAACCTACTACAGCAAATCCCAAAATAGAAGAAAGAAGGGTAGAAGTGCAAACTTTAAAGAGAAAAAAGCATCCAAGACTTGGTAAAACTAAATAGAGCTTGTCAACTGGCTATAGTTTATTATCATATTAAAAACTAACTGATTAATTATTCATAAAAGATTTAGAATTCAAAACTCCATAATATAAACGTAATACAAGTCCATTGATAACAAGCAAATAACTTTATATGTAATCCATTTTGGATATACAAATAGTTGAAAATAAGAAAAAGTATACAAATTTGTTCACATCTTTTATGCCAATTGTTCTGAGACACTAAATACTTGAAAAGGAAAAACAAAAGAAGAAAAATCAAACAAAAGTCTGTTTTAGATTAGAAATATTGCCGAAAGAAACTTGGATTGGTCTATAAGAGACTACACGAGGAGAGTAAAATAACGGTCACTTTTTTCTTAAATCATGAATAAGATATCAGATAGACACTTCGAGAGAGATTTAAAAAAAGGGGAAAATAAACAAAATATTTCTCCAGCAAAAATAAACAAAAAGTCATATCCAATTATGAACGTTACATATGTTGCTAAAACCAACCCCCAGTTGGGCACTTCAGCTTGTTTCGAACCTGATATCTCCTCAACTTCTAGAGTTGCAAAGAATAAAGAATGAACCGATCTGCCATAAAATAGAAAAAAAATTATATTGTAGATAAATACATATATCTAGCACATTGAAAGAACATCAGCAGGTTAAAAAAACCCA